AATACTTACTACCAAGCAGAAGAGACCAAACATATACTTATTGTAGTAAGTGGACATTTGTCTTCAGATATATCAGAACTTATTGAAACAAGTCTCTCTCTCTCTCTCTCTCTCTCTCTCTCTCTCTCTCTCTCTCTCAATCAGTAAACCCAAAGGAAGCAGAAGTTCTCATGGACTTCATCTTCTACTTCATATGTAGATAATCAAAGTAGGAAAAGCCACACCTGCTCAATAATTTGAAAATTCTGACCTCCCAATCCTGAAGCTTTTGAAAAAAAATTTTGATCTTTGTATGATGGTTTAAAGTGAGAGATACAGCCACCGGGAGGACTTTTCTAATTGTTCTGTATCTATGTTCCTTTGCTTGCACGTGCTCTTCCAAAGGCTAGATTCTCAGTCTCAGAGGACACAGGTATTATTCTAGTTCAAACTGCAATGGGGATGTTGTTACACATTTTTCTGCTTCTTTATATCTTGTAGACTTAGAGGTATTGAAGGAAAAGTCATAAACAAAGCCTATAGACTTGCTTTCTTCAATATAGCTGATTTTCTTTCATTTGTGTCAGAAAGAGGTAGCCTGGCACAGAGTAATGCATCTACTATGTTATTGTGTATCCCAGGAATCTGCAAAAATGCAGCTCCAGATTCAGAAAGTAGACCAGATTTGGAATTATACTTCATAGTTTTAGTGCCAGCCCTGCATTTACTAACTTGTTCTCTTGGAGTTTAATTCTTCAAACATAAATTTTCTGAGAGAGGGAGGTGGCAGACCAGGTTGTTTCAAAGCTTGCCTTGACAGACTTTTCAGAGTGATATTTTGATTAAGATCTCCAATGAGGGGTCCACATACAGCCTTGCAGGGGACTAACAGATGAACTGACACAAAGCTATCAAAGTAGAGAATGTAAGCATTGGGGCACGAGGTCATGGTCACGTCAGGAGCAATAACAATTTGTCATGGCAAAAATAAACCCATGGTTTCCAAATGACAAATGTCAGATTAAAATGTGTTCCTTAGCAAGAAGCCTCTATTTTCCCTGCAACAACCACTTCTGGAGGAAACAGAATGGCTGAAAACGGAGTTGCATTAAGAAACTTGAATGAGGGGAGCAACAGATGTGTTGTGGCTTTCAGACCGAGAAGCACATTCAGAAAGCTGTGAATGACTCGTGGCTGGGGCTATGAGAAAGTCAGCGGAGCCACGAGAAAGTCTGGTTTGAACACATCAACTTATCTCTGTTACAGAGCATTCCAGTCCAGTTGGCCAGGAATGCAGATCTTTGACCACTGCTGCCAGACCTAATGGGGCCAGAGCTTGTGAGACGCTGGTGGGAGTAGAAACGTGGTCTCCCACCAGGGTTAGGGGGTGCCTGGGTGCTTGGGTGTGCCAAGAACTTTAAATTGACGAGGGACGGGAGATGCTGAGTGAGGAAAAAACACAGGGCATTTCACTGAATGAATGTAGCGCCCCGGAACCTGAGCATAGGGTGGCGGCCCCTCCCCCAGCGCTAGCGCATCTCTTTTCGATCAGTAAACAGGATCAAACGGAAAGAATCCCCCAGGCTCAGAGACACGAACTAGTTTCTCTTTAAGTCCCAAAGCAAAGTCAGGGTGTAGAGAGAACTGGTGACAGGGTCCTCTCCCAGCGTTGGGATGGAGGCCGGGAGATTTTTACCTTATGCAGGACATGCTCGTTGAAGTCGGGGCCAGGTTCCCCCTGGTAGGAGTCGAGTCTCTGCAGGTCCATGCCAGCCGGGAGCCCACTGCTCCTTGCTCTCCCCGGGCCCTGCGTCAGAGCTTCCAGCAGCTGGGTGAGGCTGGTTCTGGTCTGAGCCTCGCCGGCCCGGCCGCATCCGTTTTCAGCACTGGACAGCTCCCGCGGCGGCCACGGCGGCACCAGGGAAACCGCGGCAGTTCAGCACCAGAACAGCGAGGCCGCCTCTGCGCGCCTGGGACCTAGAGTTCTGAGAATTTGTCCTCTCTGACGCTCCTGTCTGTGACTACAGGAAGCTGGGAGAGATACAAGATTTGAGCCTAGCTGGCGGTCTCTGCGTATCTTCTTCGGACTCCGGAGGCTCAGCGATCCGGCTGCTTTCCCAGGGCACTGCGGTCCCGGAGCTCGCGGTTCCCGAGTGTCCCTGAGCCAGTGTCTCCGTCACCGCGCAGTTCGCTGTCTGCAGAGGAGGCGAAGTCCTGCGGTGCGTGAGCCTCTTCTTTTGGTCCCTGGACAGTTCTCTTGGTGCACAGTGCTAGCTAAGCTTGCGTTTGAGCACAGGATTCAAAATTGAGACATGGACTCTGAAAATTCTCAGTCTTGTAACCTTGGGCCAGCTGCTTAATCTCTTTTAAGGTTCACCCAAAGGAAATGATAATAGCGTCTACATCACAGCGCTGTTCCGATGATTTAATGAGTCCATTCAAGTCAAAAGCCTAAAACAGAGGCAGCCATGTACTAAGCAGCGGGGCAGCGTGAGCTGTTATACCCTCTTGGCAAGGGGATGGGTGCTGCGGCCACTTCTACTAAATAGATAAGGAAATATAAGCAAGCCAAGAGAACAGAAGTGATTTTTTTCTTTTTTCTTTTTTTTTTTTTTTTTTTTTTGCAGAACCAGGGATTGAACTCAGGCCCTTGTGCTTGCCGGGGAAACACTCATTCCACTGAGCCATCTCCCCGGCACCCCAGAAGTGATTTTTAAGGCTCACCAGGGCAGTCACTTGTCAGGATTGCATTGCCACTTAGAAATAGGGGCCTGGAACTCTTGTGTCAGGTTTATCCTCATACAGTGACTCCGGTGTCCAGCAGGAGACCACCTCCTAGGACAAGTGCTGTCACCATTACCCTTATAGTTAATACCAACATAGAGGGAATGAGCCAGATTTGCCCTTAAAAGAAGGCATTTTACTTCTGGGTTTTAGTTATCATTTGACTTATAGGTATGTAGTTTATTTTCTTAGTAAAGTAAAAGTGATTACGTTATGATATGTACACATACCAAATTCCCAAGGTGAAGGTAATTACTATGCACTGCAAATGTACACTAATAAAAAACAAAAAAGATTAAAATAATAATCTAGGAATAGAAAAAAACATGATTCTGGTTATTATATAAGAATATAGATCCAATAATAAATGTGCTCATATTTTGTTATTGATTCATAAAAACTTTTTATATAATGGACATTAATTCTTTATACCATAAGTATTACATTTTTCTATGGACTGGGTTTGTTTGTTTTTTGTGGCCAGCTCAGCCTATCTTGGGGGCTTGGCTAGTGCAGCATGTGGCACTGGGGATTGAACCATGGTCCCTGCATGCTTGCCTAAGCTTGCCTAAGACTGCTGAGCTATCTTTTATTTATTTTTTTTTGGTGGTACTGGGGAATCAAACTCGGGACCTCATACTTTGCAGGCAGGTGCTTATGTTGCTGAGCTGTCTCCCCAGCCTCTACTGAGTCCATCATGCAGGCCCTCTCTGGACTGCTTTTGAAGATAGGCCTTGGCTATGTAGCTTAGGTTGGCCTTGAACTGATAGTGATCTTCCTGGGTCAGGCTTCTGAGTTCTGGGGTTACAGGCATGTACCAGCACACGCGGAGCTTCTGTGGAGTTTTAAGTGATGCACTTTGCTTTTTTTTTTTTTTTTTTAATTTTATTTATTTATGTGTGTGTGTGGCCAGCTCAGCCCACCAGGGGGCAGGGCTGGCTGGCATGTGGTGCTGGGGGATTGAACCGCGGTCCCTGTGCTTTGCTAAGCTTGTTCTAAGTAGGTACTTTAGACCACTGAGCCATCTCACCAGCCCTTGCTTGTGTTTTCATTACACTGTCTCAAAGTGTTCAGTGTTTAAGTTTGGGCTGAGCATGAGAAGGCATTTATCAGAGAGATCAGAAGGAGGGTTGCTGGACAAACAATGACCGGAAAGAAAACTGATACTCTTCAGGGAATGTGTGCATTAAAACGTGACAGGAGGGTAAATCAACTTTCCTCCTTATAGGACCGTTTGTGTTCAAGTAATGGATATGATGAACTTAGAGTTACTTTGTATTTCTTTTAAATGTGTTCAGGTGCGTTTTGTGGTCTATCTTGGTGAATGGCCCATCACTGTTTGCTGCTTGATAAGATTATGTATTCTGTTGTTAAATACAATATTCTGTAAATATCCATCAAAGTCATAGTGATTTTCAAGTAGACCTTATGGATTTTTCTGCCTGGTTTATCCATCAGGTTTTTTTTAAAATTGGAATTGAACTCATGACTTCACATTTGCCAGGTGGGTGCTGTGCCACTGAGCTACATCCCCTGGCTATTGATTGATTATTTATTTATTTATTTATTTATTTATTGCAGAACTGAGGATTGAACTCAGGCTCTTGCGCTTGCCAGGAAAGCACTTATTCTACTGAGCCATCTCCCTGGCCCCTATTGATCAGTTATTGACAGAGAGTTTAGAGTTCTCCAACAGTGGTGTGGACTTGTTTTTTTCTCCTTTTGGTTCTCAGCTGTTACCTTCTGTGCTTTGACACTGTATTTTAGGTGGACCCACCTGTTTCTTGGGGAGCTGATTCCTTTAAGTAGTGTCCTTTTTTGATTCTTAGAAATTATGTGATTCTTAGAAATTTTCTTGTTCTGAGTCTTCTTTGTCTGAAATGAATATAACTACTCCAGCTTTCTATTTTATTTATTTTTATTTTTAAAAAATTTATTTATTCATTTATTTATTCGGTACAGCGTCTCACTATGCAGCTCAGACTCATAGCGATCCTCCTGTCTCAGTCTCCCCAGTGCTGCAATTATAGGCATGCACCAGCACACTCGGTTTCCGTGTAATTTCAATACTGGGGAGACTGAGGAAGAAGGATCACTATAGGTCTGAGTTGCATAATGAGACCCTGTAATGAATAAATAAATAAATAAATAAACTGGTTTATATTCATTACCGGGTGTACCCACTTCCTGAGCTATTTGGCCAGCCCTCCCACGTTCTTTGAACAATGTATGAAATTTCATTTTATCTCATCTTAGAATATCAGTAAAACTGTTTCCGCCTGTATTTAGGACAGGGTCTACAGGGTCTACAAAGGTCTCACTACGGTAGGTGAGACTCATACTGATTCTCGTGTTTTCAGCCTCCCAAGTGCCGGGATTACAGGTGCACTCTACCACACCCAATCTCAGTCACTATCTCGGGGGTGGGCTCAGCACAGCATGTGGGGGATCAAACCCTGGACACTGCGCTCTGGCTAAGCAGGCACTTTTGTCCGCTGAGCCATTAGGCTGGCCCATTTGTTTTATTTTTTGAGACAAGGTCTCACTATGTGCTTCAGGCTGGCCTTGAACTTTCAGCAATCTCCCTGTCTTAGAATGACTGATGCTGGACTCACAGGCGTGGGCCACCACACCCAGCTCTTCTTAAAACTATGGCATATGGTATAGAGTATACAGTATGTTTTAAAAACCAAACTAAATCTACTTCAACTAAAACTATTCCTGCTTCATGTGTAGTAAGGTGCCTTAAAAACAATATTTCCAGTTAATTCTTCCTGTCCTTTGTGGCACTGCTGTCATTTACATCACTTTTTCCCATGCTGTGGTCACCAAATCCACCTGTAAACCACTGTTACTATGCTGGGGTTTCGTTAGCTGGCAGTAAAGAGAAGAGGCACGGGGAGTTCTTCTTTCACTTCTTGATTTCAGGGGTCATAGAATTTTCTACGGTTGGTTCCTCCTTTTCTCTTTTTTCCCTTTTTTGAGCAAAGTTCTCACTGTATAACTCAGGCCAGCTTTGAACTCACTCTCTAGCACAGGCTAGGCTCCAACTTGCATGGATCCTCAAACTCCTGCCTCAGCAGCCCATATTCTGGGGTTATAGGCGTGCACCACCGTGCACAGTGCCAGTGTCCGGCAGTGTTGGGCTATATGGGTTCATTTGACAGCTTCCTTCACGTATTTATATTTCATTTTTTACTTGTAGTGATCCTCCTGTTTTTAGCCTCCCAAGTGCTGGGATTACAGGCATACAGCACCATGCCCAGTCTCAATCGCTGTCTCAGGATGCCCCAGGGGTGGGTCCAGCATGGTATGTGGTGCCAGGGATTGAACCCCAGTCCCTGCTCTTTGCCAAAGCAGGTGCTTTAGTCTGCTGAGCTATCTGGCCAGCTTTTGTATTTCTATATGAATAATAATTTATTTTTATGTCAGTGCTAACAGAGAAATTAATCTGTTAGTGTTGGTCTAATATATGAAATTCTCCAGGGTGCTTCTTTATATTTTAATATAGAGGCTCTCAATTCTTTGGTAATTAGAATATCTCTCTCTCTTCTTCTTCTTCTTCCTCCCCCTCCCCCTCCTCCTCCCCCTCCCCCC